CGGGTACCTGTCTGCTCTTCCCATCTCGGTTTCTCCTCACTGTGCTCCCGGGTACCTGTCTGCTCTTCCCATCTCGGTTTCTCCTCACTGTGCTCTCCCTGGTGCCTGTTTGCTTTTCTTCTTTGTAGTTTAGATCCCATTTTTGAAATTTTTCCTTACATTTCTCACTATTTCCTGAGCCTTGTCATCTCTGCTTTTAGGTGAGTATGTTGTCTGGTTTCAGCTCCGAGCTCCCCTAATTCTGATTTATGCTGTTATTTAATGGCTTCTGTTATTGTTAGTTTCTTTCAGTCCATCTTGAAATAATAGCTCACCCTCAGCATCTGCTGTGGGAAATGCTTTTAGGTTTCTAAGTATGCCGCAGGGCATTAGTATTCGTTTCTTTTTTTCAGATATCTCTGTGTAGATTTCAGCTGCAGTCTTTCTGTTACTTATGTTGTTGCTGTTGTTACAGATGGTTTTTTGGAGGGTGTCTCCTGGTTAGTGTGGGAGTGGCCAGGATAGTTATCTGACTTTATCACTCTAGGGTTCTCTGTTCTTTATAACTACAAAATACAAAACCATACAGCTTGCCCTGCCGCTACCTTCCAGGACTTTCTGTCTGCCCCCTTTCTCCTCTCTTTCATTTAAACCTTCATTTCTGTGTCTGTCCTATCCCGCTGGGATTCTTACTTCCCACGGTTCCCCCTCAAGGCTGGGCTCTCTGCTGTTTTAAGGGAGCTCCCTCGGCTCTGCCCAGGCCTCCCAGGAATCCCACCTCCTTGCCTCAGTCTCCTCCCAGTCCATTGTTTTCACTTATCCAGAGTTCCAAACTCTGGGGTGGGGGGACCTCTCCTTTGGAGGCTTGGGGGTTTCTGAATTCTTGGCTCTCAGGCCCTATCGTGGCTGTCTGTGTCTATGCCAGCTGAGCCTTGATGCCCTCTGAGGTATTCTGAGGATTTGTGGGGTGCCTTGTCACCTGGTGTTGTGGAAGTGGAAACCCATGGGTTCCCCCCAGCCTTTGCCTTCCTTTTCTAAAACCGTATAAAATAATCAATTTGCAGGTTATTGAAGCAAACCTAAATGGAGAATTGAACTTGAAAATAGAAACTGAATTAGTGTGTGTCACAACTCATTTTAAAGATCTTGGAAATCCTTCATTAGGTAAGTTTTGTAGTAAGTTATATTTTGCTTTTGATAAATTAATTGTTGGATTTAGTGTACCTTCTGAGGTGTGCTAATGTATAAAGGTTGAAATTTGGTTGGCTTTGTTTCACACTTGGGGAGAGAATAAAGGAGGTGACTTACCTGTCCCCGCAGCTTAGTGGAACAGTAGCCAGGGGAGTGAGAGGCTGTGTCACTAAGCGGCTGGGCAATCCATGCAGGGTCTTGCTCCCCTCTGCAGTTCAGGTCACATTAAATGGCCTCTAGGATCCCTTCCCGCTCTTCAGTTCCCATTCTTCTCCTGAAGTCTCCATGTTCTCACCTGGAGTGGAGTCAGGAAGGTAGATATGTTTCTTATCTTCTCCTCCTTTAGTCACTTCAATACTTAGATAAAATCTGGTCTCACTTGATCACATTTTTCATATCATACCGGGTAATAAGGGACATTGGAGTTGGCTGAGTAAGCAGTGAGGGGAGGTGGTGATTGACAGCTGGCTGAGTCTACCTCAAAGGGAGTTAGAACTGTGGCCCTGGAGCTCGCAGTGGGGGGTCACTGCAGTCATGGAAGGGCTGCCTGAGCTGGAAAGCAGGCAGAGGGCCAGGTAAAAAATACCTGCTGGTGATGTGAACGTCATTTTATGTTACATGTGTTCCAAAACAGACAAAACAAGGCCTCTGTCACTTTTAGAATTAAGATTTCTTACTATGAGCTTGCTTGAAAATCCATGCATTATCTAGCACAGTGCTCCAGAGGCTTCTCACTTCCTGGTGAGGGGCATACTGTCCGGCAGAGTTAAATGCATATGCTTCAGGCTGGACAACACTGTGTGAAGTCACTCGTTTTGTGTCACTGGTTTTGTTTCCACCCACAAGGTAGGACTTAACTTTGGTACTATCCTAGAACTTGAAAGGATGTTTTCCCATTCCACTTGAGAATAATGAGCCTTACATTAGTTTATACATAATACACACTTCAGCTCTTCAATACACAGTGAGTACCAGTAAATACAATTTTCTTGGACCTTAAGTGAGAGATTGAGTCATATTTTCAATCCCTGTAAGTGATCCCTGGAAATTATTATAGTCTTTTAAACAGTTAGGACCTAATAAATACATTTACAAGTTATAATTTTTTCTAGGATTCTAAAATCAGTGGTAAGGGGAATCATTTGTTTAAGTACAATGCATTACACATCTCTAGGTTTCCTGTTGTTACTGAAATTTCTTTCTTTAGTAGGTCATTGGTCACAGGGATTCAAAGAATAAACCCATGGACCACAGATCAGTGATGAGATAGGATTTATTGGACAGAAAGGAATACAGAAGAAGTAAAAAGCACCAGAGCTTCTGGCAGAAGGAAAGACCTAAGTGAGAAGTCTCTATGTGGGACCTTTGTCTAGGGCTGTAAGGTCTTGAGAATTACCTTTGGCCAGGACATGGTAGATGGAAACACTTTTTTAGTGTTAATGAGTGTGATTGATATATAATGAATCTAGTCCCTCCAGTTTGCAGCAAAAGGTCAGGGTGTTTCTTTCATGAAATTGCCCAGGCCTAGGAAAACTGGGGTCCTTGTCCAGCCTTGAATGGGGGAACCCTGTATCACTTTTATATTCCAAGATGTTGCATGTAAGAACATTCATGTCATTTCAGCCTCTGAAAATGCCTCACAAGACAGAAACCCAGAACAAATGGCTGAAGTACATTTAGATATTAAGAAGCTCCTACAATTTCTTGTTGGACAGCAAGTAAACCCAACGAAGGCTTTATGCAGTAAGTTTGCGTCTCTCTTTTTTCTCATTTTAGATATGTTAGTCAACACTAGTCTAATAGATTGCATGCAGTCTCATAAATGCAAAAATAAATCAGTTAAGTGGATTCTAGCTTTCTAGGACAGTCAGGTTTTCTGAATTTTCTCAAACTCAGAAGTACCTAAAGGTGGCAACAGAGAGACAACCCTTGGGCACTCTGTTCACTTCTGGAGACCTGCAGCCACACTGGGTTGGCAGATGAGTTACGGGTACCTGGAGGGGTGATGTCAGGAGAATGGGCGTGGAGCATATCTTGTTCCCATGTCCATCTCACGTAATGGAGTCGGGATCCCAGATACTGTTTTGCTTAGATATAACTTTTGCTCTTGATTCTTACTTCCTTTCTGTGTCTACTCTGACCCGTGCTCACTGCCCCGTCTCTCTCTGGGCTGCTGATTGTGAACAGTTGTCTCCTCTCGGTCCTGACTTGGCCCTGTCTTCTGAGGTTATACACGTGCTCTGGCCCTCTTCATCAACTGACTATGCATGGGAAAAGTTACTTGCCAAGAGCTTTTCAAGGCTTTTTTCCCTTCCTTGCTACTAAAATCACAGCAACCTAAAAGAAACTGTGGCTTAGATTTGAAGTTCCATCTTTTGTGGAATAGCTCCCAAGTTGAGCTCTCAGCTACAAGAGATCAGAGTTGAGAAGGAGGATGGCCTAGGACCGTATCCCTCATGACTTTCAGATCTTCAGCATCCTGTAAAGAAGGAACAGAAAATTCTAGGCAGCTGTGTCCAGGACCAACCCTTTTGGGTGAGGGACACAAAGAGAAAGGAGAGGAGAGACCATAGCAAGGGTGCTGGACGTTAGGGAATCAGAGAAGGCAACAGATGGAGTAAGGGGCACAGAAGAGTTTGCTAGGATGCAGCGGCTGGGGGGAGGGAAGAAGCTGGAATAGTGTGGATCTGGGAGAATCCTGGGGTGAGGTAGCTGTGTCCATCTGTGTGTAGTTTGAGAAACTGTGAACAATGGTCATGTTCTTAGGGCTGAGTAGGGGGGAACTACACTGAAGTGCAGGGTCTCTAAGAGTGGAAGATGGTATTTCTCAAAACCTTGTTGTGCGTGGACATTTTGTGAAGGAGACTCCTTGTTCATAGCTCTGGACCAGGCCTTGTGGCTGCATTTCTGACAAGGTCCTGGATGATGCCTGGGCTCTTGATCCTGACAAGCACAGTGTGAGTAGTGAGAGTGTGAAACAGCCTTCCTCTCTGCAGTGTGGAACCTCAGGGCAGGAGGGGCTCTGAGCTGCCCTGCATCAGCCCTTGAACTTGGCATTTTTGAGGCTTCTACTCAGTGCTGATAAAGAACATGGAGGAGTTCTCAGCCATAAGGGTGGCAGACTGGGCCGTGGGGGCTCTCTGAAAGTTTACTTTGCCATGCTTGAGGGTAGGAAAGAAATGTGGACCAACAAATTATGATGTAGCAAAGCTACAAAGAAAAAAAAAATCCCATGCTGAACTTCTCACACCTTTATCTTTTCCAAACATCCTTTTCTGTCTTTGTCAGCCTCCATCAGCTGTCACTTCCTCTAGGATGGGTCTCTGCCCCCTCAGTTTCCACTGCTCCCCTGTGCCTTTGCACTACCTCTCCTGAAGAGCACGTGTCTTCCTGCTTATCTTTCATGGTCCCTTTCCCAACCTCTGATTTTCCTGGGATTGGTCTCTGTCTCTGGAGGCTGCTGGCCTGCACGTTCTCATCACATTTCCTATAGAGCTGTGCTCCTCGGTTGCTAGGCTGTGGTTTCTCATCTCACAGTCACATTTCCTGTAGAGCCATTCTCAGCTGCTAGGTCTAGCTCCCATGGCTCCTTCCGTGCTCCCAGTGGTTGTCACACCACATCTTTGCTGCTTTGCTTGGCCTTGTGCCCAAAGCCTTGGATTTTACCCATTACACAGCAAAGTGCCTGGTTGTGGCTTTCGTGGCGTTTGCGGAGCTGTTGAAACACAGGCCCCCCTCCTGCACTCTGGAGTGTGACTCAGGCTGTCCTAGGTGTCGGGGGTTCCTGGGGATTAGCTCTTCTCAGCACAGTTCCACCACTTACTGGTGAGAAACTGCCTTTCTCTAAAGCAGTGGTTCTCAACCTTCCTAATGCTATGGCCCTTTAATACAGTTCCTGTGGGTTGCAACCCACAGGTTGAGAACCACTGGTCTAAAGGACACTGATTTGGCTAAATAGGGTTGCGAGGAAGCCAGCCTGCTAAATGTTTCACCAAGTGCCTGGGCGGCTTTACCTTCTCTCTGTCATTAGCACTGGGGGAGCTGCCTGGGCTACAGCAGTGATTTGGCCTTAGCTGTCACAGTGAGAGCGAGAGGCTAGGGCTTCCGCTGCTGCCTTAGAGAAAACAGACACCTAAAGCAGGAGGCATGGGTGGGAAGGCTGTCCTGAAGAGAGGGGGTGGAAATGTGTGTGTTGCACTAGGTCTTTAAAATAATAGGCTTTTCTTTCCCCAGATATTGTGAGGAACAAGATGGTGCATTTTGATCTGCTTCATGAAGATGTCTCCCTTCAGTATTTCATCCCAGCACTGTCCTAGCACCCTCTTGCCAGACTGGGCAGCGCAGAGACTGACTGGATGGGGAGAGACCATGGGTCATATGTTCTGTGTCATTTGTCTGTGTCCTCCTAGTGCCACAAGTCCACACACTGTACTTATTTCTTTCTCTATAATATTTTAAGTAAAAATAGGATTAATGAAGAACTATTGGATAGACATAATATTTCATAGTACTCATGTCTGTTTTGTTTTTAAGACATTGAAAAGAAAAGCTAGAATGTATTTATTCAGACTTTTAATAACGTTTCATAGCGTTTCTTACTGAAGTTGTGAAACATGCTCATGTAGTTAACAGTGGTGCAGTAGCCAAGTTTGCAGATGTCTGCTGACCTTGGTACTTTCCCAGGGCACAGTCTGTGGCTCGCACTGTGAGTAGTGGGCAGCTGATGGCTCTTGCATCTCATCATCCTTAACTCTCCTTGCTTCCATCCCTCGGATGGCCCCATGGTCATCTCACCTCTGGCCTTGGTTACTCAGAGCATTGCAGGATGTCACAGCTATCGCATTTAGAGCCTTATTCTGACTTGCTGAAGAACCAAGTCCTTCTGGATGCTGGGGTGCCGCCAAGCCAAGCTGCCCTTGTCTGGGAGTCTTCCAGCTGCTCCTCCCAGGTGCTCCCTGGGGCCACTTTGGATCTTTGGTTACAATTCTTTGGATTTCTTCTGTAGTGCACTGGCCCTGTCATTCTGGAGAGAATACCTTTCTGTTTAGAGAAGAAGTAAACAGTTTCTAAGTTAGCATCTGTGCCAAGTGATGAGAGCATATTTCTGTTTATATATCAAAGCCAGTTCTTACTGATGGATGTGCTTTGTCATTATCCATGAAGTATATTCCATCGTATTTCCAATTATAATTAAGTTTCCCTTGCCCTGCGGAGGGAGACGCCATAAATATTATTTAGCGCCATATTACAAAGTCAAGAACTAAGTTGTTTAGGATAAGATGAAGAAATAGAAAACCAAAACAAATGAAAATTCGTTTTTTGGCTTTTTCATACTATTTGGTAAAACCAATGCATTTGAATGACTTGATGTTTAATAATGTTAGCTTAAATAAGACGGAATATTTTGTTAAACCAGCACTTTAAACATAGAACATATCATTTTTAATTTTTAAAGCCTCTGTTCCCTCTTTGGTTTGTAACAAAATTAATTCTAGCTACAGTAGTAAAACCTAAAAATCGGGATACAAAATGAAACAATACTTGAAAATAGTTTTATAAAACTTACATTTCCATTAAAGAAAATGTGTTTAGCAATTTAACCATTTACTCTTTGTAATGTTTATTGTCAAATGTGTAGTATGCCTGATTTTGATGATCCTTTCCGTGGCTCAGGACTTTCTGTACATAGCTGGAGACACCCTAGTTGAGACCCGGGAAGCTGGGTTGTCCTGTCCTCGTCGCAGTGCTGCATCTACCAGCTCGTGCCCCTCTGCATCTGACAGCTACTAAGCGGTGATGGAGGGAGCCGATAGGAAACCACAAGCTCATGGCAATGGGCAGCACTGTTTGACTTGATGATCTACCAAGGTAAAAGTTTTAGGTCAAGAAATAGCAATATATTAAAAGGAATGAATATGATTTGAAAAATTGACATATCTCAAAATGTTCAGATCTATTTTTATTAATAAATAGCTTTCTGGATTTTACAGACACTGGCTGTGATTGTGTTAAGTATTTGTGGTTTATGGAATACTGTCCTAAATGTCAAGGCAAATAAGGAGCTCCATTCCCTGCCTGCCTCAGGCTCAGGGCTCCCTCTCCTTTTGGTAGGCACATCTTGAGCTGAGTTTTGAAGCCATCCTGTGACCAGTTAGGGGACAGATAAGAATTCCTAATTCACATCTTGAGCTGAGTTTTGAAGCCATCCTGTGACCAGTTAGGGGACAGATAAGAATTCCTAATTCAGCCACTTATGACTAACATCCTAATGGCCCTGCAGTCCTCCTCCATCCCTTCCTTGATCCAGCAGGAAGCTGCTTACCCATCAAGTCACCAGGCTGAGTTTGTAGTATGGTGCCATGCCTGGTGCAAAGGACCCCACTGTCAGTGTCCTAGAACTGTGGCCTAAATGTAGTCCTGGGGCTGGAATTCTGGTTCTGCTACCAGGCAAAGAAGGTGTTAATGATGTTTATTTTTTTGGTATGTGTTGCCATGCAATTCTATACTTTTTTTAAAGCTTTATTGAGATATAATTCACATACCACACAACTCGCCCATTTATTTATTTATTCATTTATTTATTTTATTTTTTTGAGGCAGAGTCTCACTACATCACCCTCAGTAGAGTGCTGTGGCATCACAACTCACAGCAACCTCAAACTCTTGGGCTTAAGTAATTCTTTAGCCCCAATCTGCCACGTAGCTGGGATTACAAACGCCTGCCAAAATGCCCGGCTATTTTTCGTTGCCGTTGCCGTTGTCATTGTCATTTTAGCTGGCCCAGGCCAGGTTTGAACCCGCCAGCCTCAGTGTTTGTGCCTGGCGCCCTACCCACTGAGCTACGGGCGCTGCCCCACCCATTTAAATTTACAGCCCTGTGGTTTTTAGTATATTCAGAGTTGTGCAGCCACCACCACAGTCAATTTTAGAAATTTCGGCCTTTCTTCCTCTCTTCTCCCCTTCACCACCTTCTGGCCCCAGACAATTACTTGTCTAATATCTATCCAACACGTATTTGCCTGTTTTGGTTTTTAACTCCTCTTACCTATATGTAATTGTGTATCCTTTGACCAACATCTCCTGCATCCCTTCTTCCCCCGACCCACCCACGTGTCTGGTAGCCACCATTCTGCTCTCTCCTCCTTAGAGCTCTTCTTTTCTAGATTCCACATGTAAAATGAAACATGCAGTATTTGTTTATGTCTGGCTCAATTTCATTTAACATAACGTTCTCCAGGTCCTTTGATGATATTGCAAATAACAGTATTTTGCTCTTTTTTATAGCTGAGTAACATTCCAGCATGGATATGTACAACATTTCATCCATTCTAACCGGTGTGATATGATATCTTGTGATTTTGGTTTGCATTTCTGGATGATAGCCATGTTGAACATTTTTTTAGGGACCTGTTAGCCATTTGTGTATCTTGTTTTGAGAAGTGTCTTTTCAAGTCTTTTGCCCATTTTTTAAAATAGGGTTATCTGTTTCCTTACTATTGAATAGTTTGAGTCCCTTATATATTTTGAATATTAACCCCTTTTCAGCTGTCTAATTTGCAAATATTTTCTCCCATTCTGTAGGTTGTCTGTTCATTCTTTTGATTGTTTGCTTTGCTGTGGAGAAGGTTTTTAGTTCTATATAATCTGATTTGCCCATTTTTGCTTTTGTTGCCTGTGCTTTTGAGGTCTTACCCATAAAATTCTTGCCTATACCATTGTCATGAAGCATTTGTTTCTTCTAGTAGTTTCATAGTTTCAGGTCTTACATTTAAGTCCTTTTGGAGTTGATTTTTTTAATATGGGGAGAGGTAAAGATCTTATTTCTTTTGCCTATGGATATTTAGTTTTCCCGGCACCATTCCTTAAAAAAACTGTTCTTTCTCCAATGTATGCTTTTGGCATCACTGTTGACATCACGTGGCTGTAAATGTGTGTATTTATTTCTGGGTTTTCTATTCTGTTCCATTGGTCTATTTGTCTGTTTTTCTATGAGTGCCATGCTGTTTTAATTACTGTAACTTTATAGTATATTTTGAAATCAAGTAGTAATTGATCTCTAGCTTTGTTCTTTTTACTCAAGATGGCTTTGGCTTGTCAGAGTCATCTGTGGTTTCTTATAAATATTAGAATTGTTTCTTCTATTTTTATGATGTATGCCATTGGTATTTTGATAGGGAATGTATTGGATGTGTAGATGACTTTGGTTAATATGGACGTTTTAAAAATATTAATTCTTAAAATCCATGAACATGGGATATCTTTCCAGTTATTCATGTCATCTTCAGTTTCTTTTACCAGGAATTTATAGTTTTCATCATAGAGATCTTTCACCTTCTTCATTAAATGTATTCCTACATATTTTTTAAAAAATTGATAGCTGTTGTAAATGTAATTTTTTTTAATTTCTTTTTTTGATAGTTCATTATTAACATTTAGGAATGCTGCTGGTTTTTCTGTGTTGTGTATCCTGCAACTTTATAAAGTAGTTTATTAGTTCTCACAGTTTTGGGGAGAGTCTTTAGGAATTTTCTATATTTGAGATGATGTTGCCTGCAAGCCAAGATAATTTAACTTCCTCCTTTCCAGTTTAGATGCCTTTTATTGGTTTCTTTTGCCTAGTTTCTCTAGCTAGGACTTCCAGCACTATGTTGAATTTTAAATGGTAAAAGTGGGCACCTTTGTCTTTTTCCAGATCTTAAAGGATAAGCTTTCAGCTTTTCCCACTTCAGTTCTTAGCCGTAAGTTTCTTAATGTCCTTTATTCTGTTGCAGTACATTTCTTTTCTACCTAATTTGTTGAGAGTTTTATCATGAAGGAATGCTGAATTTTGTCAGATTTTTTTTCTGTGTCTATCGAAATGATCCTATATGTTTGTCCTTGATTCTGTTCATGCAGTGTATGTCATGATTATTGATTTGTGTATGTTGAAACATCCATGCATCCCTGGGATGAATCCTTTGGTTGTGGTGAATGATCCTTTCACTGTACTGTTGATTTGGTTTACTTTGTTGAAGATTTTTGCAGCTGTGGTCATCAGTGATGCTGGCCTATAGTTTTTCTTGTTGCATCCTTGTTGGCTTTTATATGAGGATAATGTTGGACTCAAAAAATGAGTTTCCTCCTCCACATGGGCATGACTAGTTTTGTTAGTTTGTTTCTAGAGGTTTTAATGATCTATTTCTACGTCTTATGGGGATATATTCTCTCCTTACAAAAACCTGGCTTGATGGCCTGTTTTCTGGAATCACAATTGATATTCCTATTCTATAAATGTTCAAATGGGTTAGAGAATGGTTTGGGGGAAGTTAATATTATGCTGATAAACTGTTCTTTCCCTCCTCTGAGAGCAGCTTTTTTTCAGGTTTAAATTGTGCATGATAATTTCTAGTGGTACTGTTTCACATTTTATAGCTCTATGAAGAAGTTGTTTGCTTTTTTTGGAAATTACAATACACAGTTCAAATTGTGTGAAAGATATGGGCACAAAAACACATTTCTTGCAATTTGCTATAGCCATTTAAACATAGTCACGTGTGTCATCTGAATCTTGAATAGCTGTTAATTCAGCAAATCTTACTTGCATTGAAGCAAAACTTTTGTCTTGGCCATATTTATCTGGAGGAAGTACTTTATTTCCTTGGTAGTAAAGTAATGCTCAGTCAGTTAGTATAGAAGGACATCATTTAGGGGACAATCTTTTTTAGTTCAAACAATAAATTTAACCAGTCCTTAGGTTATGTAGCATCATTATAATTTGGTTAATAGTTCCCAAGTTCCTTTTACCAGTGAGTTTTATACCTTCAAACAGCTATTCTGAATTCTCTGTCAGGAATATCATACATCTCTGTCTCTTTAGAGTCTGTCACTGGCACCTTATTTGTCCATTGTGATGTCATGTTTCCCTAATTGTTCTTGATCCTTGTTGTCTTATGTCGACCATGCATTGAATACATAGGCATTTATTCTGGTCTTTCAGTCTGGCCTTGTCTGTTATTGCCCCTGTGCGGTAGGTCTGTCCAGAAATTCTGGGCAGACTCTTTTGCGCTCTGAGCCCATGGGCGCAGTGCTAGATGACCCCCTTAGCCCAGGCCCACTGCTGCCCGCTCAGTGTTTATGCATTGGTTGCTGTGAACCTGACCCTTTTTTTTTTTAAATTAAATCATAACTGTAGATTTATGGGGTACAGTGTGCTGATTTGATATACAATGTGGAATGTTTACAGCAAACTGAGTAACATGACCATCACTTCACTTATTTGTTGTAGTCAGACGTTTATACTCTTAATAGATTTGAAATGTACCATTGCATTATGCACACCTTGTTTTTGTTTCTAAGTTACCCTGGTGGGCTAATCCTATAGCACTGGCCATGCTTCCAGTGGAAAAGAGCACACCGCCTTTGAAGCACCTCAGAATGGTGGGGAAACTGAATGCCCACCTTCCACTCACTTTTTCTACTGCAGAAACCATGAATCCAGGGAAATTCTCACACATGGCACGGTGTGGGTTTAGGGGAATGGCCTGGCAATCAAAGAGAGCCATGTTCCCCTTTCCCTCTGATGACATTTTTTCTGGGCTCTATGGTCCAATGTGGCCCAGCTTCACTCCCAATTTCTGTAATATTCAGGATGGTAATCTTGCCACCAGAGAGTTGATAGTTGAAATTTTGTTGGGTAGAGAGAAGCTGGAGAGCTACTCCTCGTAACATTTTTGCTCACGTGACTCTGATTCTGTACTGTATGTGGATTCTAATAGGGAGAGTCTATTAGAGCTTCTTCTAAGCATAGCTATTGACTTGGGAGATAAAATCATATGTTATAACTGATAATGTCCTGAAATTATCAGGGAAGTAAATTAGCCCCACGTATGCACTGCTGGCAGAAGTGTGAATTTACAGCACTTTGCTGGGGTCCAGTTTAACCCCAGTTTGGTCTCAAATATATATTCTATTGTATATAGAAAGCCTTAAAAAATGTATGCCCCTTTGACTCAATAATTCTGCTTATAGGAATTTTTTTAAAGGTTATAATTAAAGATGTTCTAGTATTGTTATATTAAAAAATGTGAACTATCCTCAATAAGAAATTAATAGGGATTGGTTAAATAATTTATGTTTGATATGATATTTCATACCCTAGAAATAATATTACAGAAAAGCGTGTACTGATATGGTAAATGTTTATGACTTAACAAGGCAGGTTAGACGTTGGTATGTACAGTATGATAGACTGGGCAGATATGCACCAACACTTAGACCTGGTTATTTCTGGGTGGCTTTTATTTCAGTCTTTGTGCATGTATGTATTTTCTCTCTCTCTCTCTCTTTTTTGTCTCTGGTACTTTCTCTGTAATTTTTTTTTTTTTTTGAGACAGAGTCTCACATGTATGTATTTTCTAAAAATTTTACAACCAGTTTTGTAATAACAAAAAAGTATTTTTAAGGGATTAAATAATCAATGTTTGTTGTGTAAGTGTTGTGCATCTTCAATTGGCAATCACAATCTCTTGAACATTGGATTTTCAGCTCTTAATTTTCAAGCACATCATTATTTTTATAAGTAGAAAGTCAAACTTTTATTTGTCATGTTGAAATTGTACCAGGTTCAATCAGGTGGCACCACCTTGCAGAATAATTTCATCTTAATATCTCCCCAACATGAGTGAGGCTTAATCACTGTAACAGTCTTTGTAGTGATGGCAGAGAGACCAGTTTTAAGGTACTAGGCTCCAGAATCCTGAGCGAGATCAGCCAAGCCCTGGGACTTTACAGATCATCAGAGGATAAGGAAGCTGATAAGGATAAGGGGTAGCATGAGGAACCAAAGCTGCTTTCCTGGGATCTAGGCCTTCTTTGCTTATAGCACTCCTAGACTGAACTAATCTGGTAACATGTGCAGGGTAGGTAGCTCAGGACAACAGTGAATCTCAGACCTGGGGATAGATTCTGGCTCATACTAACACCCTAATCATGAGCAAGTGCTTTAGCCTCTTAGGAGATTCTTGACGCTGACTAACTGTGCTCACCACCTGTGGGGGTTAGAATTAAAGGAAATATACTACTCATGGGAACGTTTCTAAATTGAGAAGTATAATATAAAATGTAAGCATTTGTAAACTGATTACCACAGAGCGGGTCTCTTTCATTTATAAAGAAAAGACATTTATGGTTCTGGATCCTGCGAAGTCCAAAGTTGGTGAAAGCCCTCTTGATGCTGTCACCTGGTGGAAGGGCAGAAGGGCAGAAGGCCGATATACTGGTGCATTAGGCACAGAGGAACCAGGAGGGAGGGGTGCAGTCTATTTATAGTAACACACACTGACAATGCCCAGTCCACTCCCAGAATAGCAACCTTAACCCATTTGTGAGGGTAGAGCCTTCATGACCACATCAACTCCCGTGAGGCCTTGCCTCCCAACCCTGCTGCACTGAGGACCAGGCTTCTAACACATGGATTTGGAGGATGCATTTGACCTACAGTATGGGCTTTACAAAAAAAAAAAGCCTGAAGAGGCTCGGCGCCTGTGGCTCAAGTGGCTAAGGTGCCAGCCACATACATCTAAGGTGGTGGGTTCGAATCCAGCCTGGGCCCGCCAAACAATGATGACGGCCGCAACCTGAAGAAACCGGCCTCGTTCCCAGTGGATCTGTGCTGCTAACCAGTGGCTGCCAGTTCATAATAATGCACAGTGTAAGTTACTGGACAAAGAGGGTCTAGCAGCTTGTCACTGCCCAGCCAATTTGGAAAGGTGGGGATTAGGTCCATCAAGCTTTGTTACCAAGAAGGCCAGAATTCTGGAGTAGAGCGAGGGTAGCCTCTCCTAGACTGTCTGCCCTTCCATTTCCAAAACCAGTTTTATACACAAAAGTTAAAAGCAAAGCCTGTGATGTTAAACCTTAAGCAACAATAAGCAATAAGCAGCATAACATGTGACCTATTACAACATTTCCAATTCGAAAGTTAAGCTCCTAAACCAGTCCTCCTAAACTGTTCAAGGTACACATCTTTGGGCTGGGAGCTAAATTTACAAAAGAACAAGAACAGAAGACCTGAGGGGAAGGTCAGTGGGACCTCAGTGGACTGGGCGGCTGTGTCTGGGCCCAGCCTGACTCCTCTCACTGCACGCACCCCACGTGGGCTCGGTAGCTTCCACTGCTCTTGTGGTGCTTACAGAAGTTTGGTCAGCACATCCTGGTACACTGTCATCATCCAGTGACCTCAGGGCTGAAACTCTATGACCAGACAGCCCTGCAGCCCCAGCCGAGTTACTTAAAATTTGGGTTCTTAAAAAGCATCTTCGTGTATATACATTATAACCACTTTTTACTGTACTAATTCCAGTTTAATCTGTCTATATAGCTGTCTTCCTTGCAGAGAGAAAATCCTAATCCAAGGTTCGGGATGAGGCTCCTCCCATACAGGAGAAGAAAAGCAGCTGACAGACAGAAGTGAGAGCCAGACTGAGCCCCGCTACCTCACGTTTTGGGGTTTTTAAAAAACTTTTCTGTGTTCACTTCTTTCACTGTTTGCAAATAAACCCTGTAGAGGAGGCAGAGGGGATAAGGAGGGCTGATGAGAGGGACGTGCAGGATGGAGTCCAGTGCCTGCGCAGTAACGCTTCCCCTAGTTCATACCCAGGCTCCCCAAAGCACCCATAATTGGAGCTTCCCCCCTCCTGGAGCACCCAGTCTTGCTAAATCAACAATGTAATGCCCAGCGCTCTTGAATGTTCTAGAGGCTTGTGTGTCCTGAATGACACAGGTGGACGTTCCTAAGCATTGTGCAAGTCTGAAGTAACCAGGAGAAACGTTGGTGGCTCCGCCTCATCTTTACTGAGGGTCGCTTAAAGAGACCATGTGCAGGGACCATAGAGACTAGAGACTTGTCCTGAGCCTGCCTGTAAACATACACTAATGATCTAGGCTGGGCCAGGGGCTGTGGCTCATGCCTGTAATCCCAGCACTCTGGGAGGCTGAGGTGGGAGGATTGCTTGAGCTCAGGAGTTCAAGGGCAGCCTGAGCATGCACATCATCTCTGAAAATATCAGGTGTTGTTGGGGACACCTGTAGTCCCAGCTACTTGGGAGGCTGAGGCAAGAGAATCACTTGAGCCCAAGGGTTTGAAGTTGCTGTGAGCTGTGACACCATGGCACTCAACTCCAGTGCAACTGAGTGAGACTCTGTCTCTAAAAAATATATATATATATCTAGGTTAATAAGTAGCAAAGGTTTCTTAAGAGTATTTCATTCTTTATGATATATCACTTTTCTGTCTCGAGTAATACTTCTATTTGCTTCAGATGAAAGGATGAAAGATGAAAGCAAGCCTGGTGAGTAGGGTTGGGGAAGCCAAGATGATACAGACAGACTACTTAAATCTAAAAATGTGTGCTTTAGACACTAATAAACTCCCCCACAGAATGTGTGTGTTTTAAAAAAAAAGAATATCATGTTTACCAAGTGCACTGGAAGAAGGTAAATGCAATGCTGGGTATGTTAATTCCCTGTTCATAATGTGTTTTTGAGAGGGAAAAATTCAGTGTTCCCCAAACCTCATAGTGCTGAGAGAGGGTTTTTGCTGTGATCATCATATCCATTCAGTGGAATTGCTGCCTGTGGTTTTGCAGAGAGAGAGAGGAGTAGTTAGGGAATGGATATTTTCCTCTACACTCTGAGTGGCCAAAGGGCCAAAGGCATTTAAGATCAGCCTATCAAAGTGTTTGAATATCAAGCAATGGAAGTTTAATTTTATTTTGAAGCCAATGGAAGATAATAGCTATCATGTATAATTCAATAATTATTTATGATTTGTATAAGACCAGGTACTTGCTTTTAGACTCAGTTGTAGCAAATTTGTTTTCTATAACTTGACCGTGGCTTTAAGTGGTCCCCTGATGTCCCACTGTTAGGGATTATAGGGCACCCAGCTATTTTTCACAAGGTCATGATACTTTAATAGCTGTGTGTGGAGCTGCTGTTGAGAGGACATAATCATTTCAGAGGAAACAGCCCACATAGCCTGTTGGGGGTGGGGATAAGCCCCCAGATCTTTGGGGAGGAGGTTTGTTTCTTGGGGACACTGCTGATTGGCTGATTATGTCAGAGGCAAGTGGGGGGGCGGGGAAGGCTCAGTGCCCCTGGCCGTGGGCAGGGCAAGGCCAGTCCCTGTTGCTTCAGGCCCCATTTGTGGACATTCTCTCACCTGTGCTCATCTGCCCAAAGTCATCCCTGACTCGGATGCTGAGCGGGAGGCCCCATGGGCACAGTGTGCTTGGGACTGGGGTGGAGGGTGCTCCTCGGAGCCTTGCCCCTGTTCTCCTGGGTACAGCTCACTCCAGGGGTCAGTTCAAAGGATGGTAAGTTTTACCAAGATCTTAGCAATTTTCCTTTATTTTTGCTGCAATTAATTACCAAGATTTGCCAAGTACTAGGTGTTTGATGCTGTGTGTGTGATGTGAAGGCTGGGGGTAGGAGTGGGGTGCTATAAAGGCAGACAGTGAGTGGACCTGCACAGGTGGCCTCTAAGAACGGAATGGAACTGAGAGTGACCAGTAACTGAGCTGTCCAGAGCAGCACATGTCAGATTCCTGGCAGGAGGCTCAGTTTGGAGGTGAACATCTGAGACAGGCAGGTGATGAGATGAACCTGGGCTTCGCTAAGACTGGAGAAACACCACTGTGACTGGTGGTGGACACCGGTCAGTTACTTCTCCCTGTCCATTTGTGTATATGCTTGTCTGAGTTGCAAACCCAAACTTAGTATCATGAAATGCCTCCCTGTGGGGAAAAACTGGGCAGCTCTCCTTCCTGGAAGGGCTCTGTGCTCTTGGAAACAGCAGCTGTCTCTGTGTTTCCCCACACGAATTGTGTAAACAACTGTGTGTTGTGTAAACAATTGTGTGTGCCTTTTTGCTTTGACTGTTAAAACTCTCTAGGAGATGTTACCATTTTTTTTCTTTTGATCTATGTACCCCTTGAGCACCTTCAGTCTCTTGTGCAACAGATAGGCTTAATTAAGTAACAATTAACTATTACCTAAAGAGAAGTATCAAAGACTGAGTATTAAATCTGAAATACAGAATTTGTGGTTTCAAAAACATTTCTAAGGAGGCGGTTTTGTCTAAGACTTAGCAAGAAGGGTCTCTGAAGGCTTCTGCCAGGTGTGTGAGGGTAAGGTTTGTGGGTTCTGTCCTTTCCCATTGATCACATGCAAAGAAACAATTTATTTTCTTTCTTTGTTTAGTTTTTTCTGAGACAGAGATTCACGATGTCACCCTCGGTAGAGTGCTGTGGCGTCACAGCAACCTCAAACTCTTGGGCTTAAGCGATTCTCTTGCCTCAGCCTCCCAAGTAGCTGGGACTACAGGCGTCCACCACAACGCCCAGCTATATTTTATTGCAGTTGTCAAAGTTGTTTAGTAGGCCCGGGCTGGGTTAGAACCTGCCAGCCTCAGTGCATGTGGCTGGTGCTGTAACCGCTGTGCCATGGGCACCAAGCCAATGATTTATTTTCTTGTCTCTTTTCTTCCCCTTATGAAGGTAGGGATGGGCTAGGATCCTGGCTGAGTTTTTGATGGTTTCTAAATGAAAAGCTTAGGTGGTATTCATAAAAGGGGTCATTTCTAGAAGACATTTAGCCAACTTAATTCAGAATATTTTAAAACTCAAGATGATGTTTTCCAGTCTGCTTTTCACGTCCAGTTCTCACGGTAAGTAGAACATGCCTCCATAAGGAGCCGTTACCTGGGCCCCGTGTAGTGCTCCTGGTCACGCCAGAGAAATGCCTGCAGACCCAGGTCATGGGGAGCCAGGCTGTGGGTGTGGACGCCATCGCTCTGCTGGTCACAGCTGTGCTGAGGACACGATGCTGGTGGCACTGTCTGGACAGAGAGGCGAGACTTCCCAGTCTGCATGGCCACCAGGCCATCCTGCAACAAGGCAAATGTTCTGCAGTCTGGATCTTGGCTACTGAGCCCTTGACACGCGGCTAACAACTGAGAAGCTAATTCCCGATTCTCTGCCCCTCCAGTAGGCCAGGTTGCTGTGGCTCCCACGTCAGGCAGCGCGGGCACATTTCTTCCCTCAATTCTGTCATTTCCTTTGCTCCTCGTCACCCTGGTGTTTCGTTAGCACCACTAGCTTCATAAACTTCACAAACTTTAAAGGTAGGGTAATGTTCTCAGTATGTCTGGTCCCACAGGGAAGGAAAAGGCAACGGGGCAGGGTCAGAGTGTCCAGGTGTGGATGTGGGGGTGGCTGTGAGCCCAGTGGGCTTTGGACCTGAGGCTTTAGATTTGGCAGGAAGGTGTCAGAGCAAACCACAGGGGCTTTAGAGAGAGTGGATTTTCATCCACTTACAAACACATGGCAATTTGCAATTGATCCTTTCCGTATGTGAAAAGATATCACTAACAAAACTGGCAAGTACACATTTACTCCAAATCCCTGAGCTTTGTCCCCAGCACGCACAGTGGGAGGAGCCAGCGGCTGGCAAGGCCGTGAGGGAGAGCAGAGGGGGCTGTTAGACCACAGTAGGTCCCTTCACACCTGCAGGGCTTCCCGTCTGCCCTAGAGCTGCAGCAGAGTTCTATACAAACTTGCCCTGGGCCAGACCCCTGAGGCCTTTTCTGCATTCTCCATGGGAACTCTCCTGTTCCCATCTGAGAGGGAGAAAGCACCCGAAACTTTCCTACGCTTCTTGGTATTACTCTCTTGTACTGTGAAATATGAATTCATAAGCAATTCTAAGGCAGAGAGAAAAATTACCTATTTTCTAAGTGAAACACAAAATTAAATTTTGTAAAATCTCTATGAAGGTCAAAGCATTGATGTAAAGAATTAAAGGAACTAACAAATGCTTTAAAAAGAAATGAGGACATATCTCATAATGGGAGGACTCAGTTGCCCACACAGCTAGCAAGGACAGGTGCAGAGACCAGCGAGAGGTTAGGCAGGGCAGAGAGAAGGCAGTGAGCCCAGCGTGCTCCCTGCTGGGGGTCGTTTCGAGTGCTGTTCTGGAAGGCGTCTTGGGCAGTCCTGGCTTGGTACTACCACACGTCTGCCAGCTTCCATGAGCAATCTCTCCCTTGAGTAATGACCAATCTAAGGCAACTGCAAAGATCTCTCCCTAACGCACACTTCCAGTGTAGAAACTGGTCTGGGCAGCGTTACAAAAGCTGTTTCTGACCAGCAGTATTTTATTTACATGTGTTACTGGGAGGTGGCCTGAGTGGGAATGGCGGCACTAAGTCTCTCCCTCTCACTGTGTTCCAGGGAGTGTAGGAGGGAGCCGGGCTGCTTATCGAAGTGGCCAGGACTGGCCAACACAGGGCATGGCCAAGGAGGTGGCCAAAGGCATTTCTGGTGACCAAGAAAGGTGAGCTAGCACTATTCTCAGGGGATTTGGTGTGCTAAATTTAAAGTGTGCATTCAGAAATTTTTTATTAGAAAGAAATATGCTACTTTTATTTTGGTAGAGGAAAAAAATGGATTTTTTAAAAAAGAACTACACATACACAGAATGTGTTTTTAACTTTATTTTTGTTTGTTTACTGTTAGTTTCAACGAATTTAAGGGGTAGGAGTGTTTTTTGTTACATGGATATATTGTATCATGCTGAAGTCGGGGCTTTCTGTGTGCTGGTCACTGCAAAAATGTATATCGTGCTCAACAGGAGGACTGTTACTCCTCCCTCTTCCCTTCCCACTTCTTGGCTTCCAGGGTCCATCACTGCTCTTCATGGCATATGCCATATAGCCTTCTTTAGCTCCCCAGTCTGAGGGAGTGTATGAGGTGTCTGTTTTTCCATTCCTGAGACACTTCACTTAGGGTAATGGTCTCCAGTTCCATCCAAGCTGCTGCGAAGGTGTGGTTTCCTTCCCTTTCTGGCTGGGTAGGGCTCCATGTCCACACACAACACATACCACATTTTCTTTTTATAAATTTCAGATTAATATGAGGGTACAAATGATGAGGTTACAATGTTTGTATTTGCTAGGTAAGATCCCGGTCATGCTTGTACCCCTCACCCAGGAGGGGTGCCGTGAGTCCTCCAGTCCCTCCCCTTCCTCTCCTCTCCCTCCCTCCTTCTTCTGCCTCCCAACGTGAATTAAATTGGGTTTTTCTCTTATGTGGGCATTTATAAGTTCATCTACTGGCTTCATATAAGTATTGAATACATTGGATACTTGCTTCTACATTTTTGTGATACTTTACTAAAAGGAATGTACTCCACCTCTGTCCAGGGTAATACCAAGGGGGTAAGGACGCCATCTTTTTTGTCTGACTAGTATTCCATGGTATATACATAGACCACAGTTTATTAATCCATTCTTAGGTTGATTCCACATCTTGGTGATTGTGAATTGAGCTGTGATAAACATTCTTGTGCAAGTACCCTTATGAAAAAATGTTCTCTTTTTCCTTCCAGGTAGATACTTAGTAATGAGATTGCCAGATTAAATGCACGGCCTATTTTGAATTCTCTTTTCCTTATCCATTCATCCTGTGACAGGGACTTAGGATGATTCCACATCTTTGCTATTGTGAACTGTGCTGTGATAAGTATTCCAGTGCAGATGTCTTTTGTTATGAAATGATTTCTGTTCCTTTGAGTAATACCCCCTAGTGGGATTGATGGATGTCACGGGAGGTCTACTTTTAGTTCTTTGAGGAAACTCCTTACTGCTCTCCATGGCAGGTATACAAGCTCAGTCCCACCAACAGGGTAGAAGCTTCCCCTCCTCACTGAAACCACACTAACATCTATGATTTCTTGACTTTTTAATAATGGCAATTCTGGGCTGGGTGCCTGTGATCATAGCACCTTGGGACACTAAGAGTAGGATTGCTCGAGGCCAGGAGTTTGAGATCAGATGCCTAAGCAAGAGCAAAAGCCTGCCTCTTGGCAGGAAAGAAGGAAGGAAGGAAGGAAGCTGGGTGTGGCGGGCGGCGGCATGCTCCTGCAGTCCTAGCCACTCAGAGTCTGGGTGTCCCTTGAGCCTGCAGTGAGCTGTGGTGACACCACCGCACTCCATCTGGGTGACCAAAAAAAAAGGCAATTCTAACAGGGGTAAGGAGGTGTCTCACTGCAGCCTTAATGTACATTTCCCTGATAAATCAGTGATGTTGAGCATTTCTTCACGTGTTTATTGGCCAATTGTCTATCTTCTTGTGAGAAGAATCTGTTCATGTGTTTTGTCCACTTTTCGATGGGGATATTTAGCCCTTCGTTGGATGTATAGTTTGTGAATATTTTCTCCCATTTTGTAGGTTGTGTCTTTCCTGTGTTAATTATTACCTTTGCTGTGCAAAACATCTTTATTTATTTTTGGTGTTCCAGTATTTGCTTTGCAGAGGTCTCACTCATAAATTCTTTGCTTAGGCCAAAGTGTAGAGGCCCTACCTTTTTTCTAGAATTTGTATGATTTGAGGTCTTATGTTTAAATCTTTAATTTACCTTGAGCTAATTTGTGTATATGGTGAGAGAGGGATCTAGTCCCATTCCCCTGCATGTGGTTATCCAGTTTTCCTCAACTATTTATTGGACAGAGTGTCCTTTCCTCAGTGTATGTTTTTGTCTGCTTTGTCAAGAGCCAGTTGACCATAGCTACACACTGTTTTATTTCTGGGTTCTCTATTCTGTTCCGTTGGTCTCTGTGTGTACCTTTATACCAGTACCAGGATAAGTTAGTGTAATCTGAAGTCAGGTAATGTGATACCTCCATATTAACCTTTTTTTGGGGGGGGGGGAGTTCCTTATGAAGTTCAGGATTATTTTTTCTAGATCAGTGAGAAGTGACCGGAATTTTGATGGGGATTTTACTGAATCTATAAATAACTTTGGGCAGTATGGACATTTTAACAATGATGGGTTGATTCTTCCAATCAATGAGCATGGGATATTTTTCCATTTGTTTTTGTCTATGATTGCTTTTATTAATATTTTGTAATTTTCCTCATAAAGATCTTTTACCTCTTTGATTAAGTGCATTCCTAGGTATTTTAATTTCTTTGGAGCAATTATAAATGGTATTGAACTCTTGAACTCATATTTGGCTGTTATTAAATATAGGAATGCTACTGATTTGTGTACATCTATTTTGTAACTTGGGATTCTACTAAATTTATCAATTGTAGGAGTCTTTTAGCAGAATCTTTAGGGCTTTCTAGATACATGATCAGATGGGATGGTCTGCCTTCCGCCTTCCTGATTTGAGTACCCTTCTGTTTCTTTCTCTGACCTCGGTGTTGTGGACTTCCAGGACTGTACTGAGTAGACTGGAAGCGACAACAGTGGGTGTCCTTTTCTCATTCTTAGGGGATACTTTTAACTTTTCCCGTTCAGTGTCATGTTTGCTGTGGAATTGCATGAGTGACTTTTACTGTTTTGAGGTTATGTTCACTGTGTGCCTAATTTGTTGAGAGTTTTTATCATAAAGGGTGCTGGGTTTTATTGAATATTGCTTCTATATCTATTGAGATGATTATTTATTTTAAATTCTGCTTATGTGGCAAATCATATTTATTGATAGCATATGTGAAACTGTTCTTCCTTCCCTGAGAAGGATCCCACTTGATCATGGTGGATTTTTTTTGATGTGCTATTGAATTCAGTTTGCTAGTATTTTGTTGAGAATTTTTGCATCTATGTACATAAAGGATGTTAGTCCATAATTTTCTTTTTATGTTGTATCCTTTCCTGGCTTTGGTAAGAGTTAGGGAGGACTTTCAGTCTTACGGAACAGCTTCAGTGGGGCAGGGTGACAGTCCTTCACTCGGTCCCTCTGACTTGCCATGCATACTCTGAATTCTATTTCTGTCATTTGAACAATTCCTTTTGTTTGGCTTGAGTCTCATTTGGAGAGCTCTTATGATTCTTTGAGGGTGTTGAGACAGCCTGTTTTTGTTGTTTTTTTTTTTTTTATGTTGCCAGCATTTTTGTGCTGGTTTCTTCTCATTCGGGGACTCTTCTCTCAGGTCAAAACAGCTATCGGATATGGTCCTCTTATTCTTTTCTGCTGGCATCTCTTTGGCTCAGTGAAGGTAGTGTGAGGTCCCTGGTTGATGTGTGTGGGTCCTGCTCTGGAAGGCACTGTGTGTCTTCATACTGCTGTTCTGCTGCGTGTCCCCTGTTCCCTGATGTTTGTCACTGGGAGCTGTGGCAGGGTTGACCCCCGTGCAGGGTGCACATGTGACCCTGGCTGGCTGGCAGGAAGTGCATGAACATGGGAGAGAGGAGTTCTGCTCAGTGGGTGCCCCCGCCACAGGCCTGAGTGGTGCTCGGTGTGTGGGCAGGGAGAGCCGCATGCAGGGTACAGCACAGATGCGGGGGACAACGGGTATACACGTTGGAGCAAGTCTACACGGCAAAGCAGGAAATAGAGGGATAGAGCAGGCTCGTGGGGCAGGACGCCTGTGCAGGACAGAGCAGATCACTGAAGCTGTACTCACACCTGTGACCAGGGTGGCTGCGTGGCAGAGCACTGGGTGAGGCACCCAGGATGCCTGTTCAGCCTGGTACAGGTCCGTGGTGTCCAGTCCATCCAGATCCAAAGGTGGTGGCTGTGGGGGCTTTTGCTCCTGTAAGGGCCTCCTAGGCAGTAGCCACAGTGGTGGTCCACCCACTCCAACAGCAGGTGCCAAGGCTAAGAGTGAGTGATCTGCCCAGGTCCCATAGGAAGTTTGGTTGAGCAGGAGCTCTCAGGCCACAGCAGTGGGTGTAGGGCCCATGATCTCCAGCTTTGCCCAGGGTCCCTGCCAGTGGTGGCGGTGGTGGTGGTGGTGGGAGTGGCGGCAGTGATGGTGGCGGTGGCAGTGGTGGTGGTGGTAGCAGTGGTGGTGGTGGCAGTGGTTGGCAGCGATGTTGGCGGCAGCGATGTTGGCAGCAGCGGTGGCAGTGGTGGTATATATCACTTGTTCACAGGGTTAACTTGAATGTCGCGATTCCTCAGTACCTCCCTGTCCAGTCTCAGTACCTTCCCCCAGGAGCAAGGGGGAGGCAGCAGTCACTGCTCTGTTAGAAGGGCACCTCCTGCAGCATTTGGGGCTCACAATGGGGCTGTCTTTTCTCTGCAGAGCAGTGTAGCTGCACGGCCTGCAGTCAGGGCTCTGCTGAGGTGGAGGCCCCCTGCTCCCCTATGGTTTCCTCAGGGTCTCTCCTCTGTCCTGTTCCCACAGGTGGGTGACCTTCTTCATTACCTCTGGTCTTGGTGAGCAGGTTGTCCCACTTTTCTCTTCCTCATTTCACTCCTGCCTTCTCTCATGGAGTCCCTGGCTGTGCTCAGAGGACTGATCCATAGGTGGGTGTCTGTCTGCCACTTTCCACCCTCCCTGCGAGAGCAGTGCTGTGCAGGCTGCTTCTAGTCCGCCATGTCG